TAGTAATCGTGGATGTGGGGATATTTGCTATGAACGCGATATCTTGCTCTGTTATCGTTCCAGCTCTTGCACTTAGTTTCTGGAAGGAGGACCAGGCGGACAGGAAAGCACCATCGCAGTTTTGTTGAGGTATAAACACATATACCTCTTCCTCTCTTCTTTGAAAGATGCGCATCAATTGAAAAGATCATATGGCTCACAGCACAGATACATTATATTGAATCATTTATCTTAGTTTACTGCCTATGGAACCATTTATCTTAGTTTACTGCCTATGGAATCATTTATCTTAGTTTACTGCCTACTGGTGTTGATATTTGTTAAGATGGGGGGTGTTGTTGTGTATAAAACCAACGAGGAGTTTGCTATTTCCTCTAGTCATTGCATATTAACATTCATGATAAAATTGGGGCTGGCATCGATCTGAAATTGTGCGAGTAGCCAACTGATGCAGTTCTACTGTATGCTTCTGTTATGAAGTGATTAATAAAAATGAGCAATTTCACACATTGGGAAAAAATATATTAACTGCTTACGCTCCATCGTTCCCTGTGATCATTGTATCTTTGCAGCGAGTGAGATTATTGCAATGTCTGCATGCTTCCATACTGTTTGCAACCACCTTCTAGAGCTCTTACCATTGATAATTTCTCCGTTGAAACAAATGGAAAGACCCAAAGTTTTCAAGTTTTTGCTATTGCATATGAGTCTAGTCTAATTAGTTGCATTTGGCAATTGTGACTTTGTGCCATGTTCCGTGACTGGTAAAAAGAAGTATACTGTTTGATCATATGGAAATAACATGACAGTAAAATATCACACCTCTTCTCCTTTAACAGTGGTAAACTTTTATGTGACGCTATGCCACCACATTTTGGTAGAAGTGCCATTGTGGGTTTGTCCCTTGTTCTTTTTGACCAGAACTAGCTGGACTGCTTTTTCATCAGCTAACAATGACAGTTAGGAGGAAGTAATGTACATCAGCTAAAAATCTTACAGAGAAAGAATTGCAGTAGGGAAAGAAAGTACCCTCACTCAGCCAAAACACTGACACAACTCTATCTATCTCTCCGGGTAGCCCTTAAGGCCTCAACATCTTCTCTAATCAGGGACAACACCAGTGATGCATTCTGTTCTATGACTCGGTTTAATGCCTTTATACGTCAATTAAAAGAAGTAAACTGTGCCTTTGAGAATGGATGCACATCTTGTACTTTAAGGTGGTGCTATGCCGCTTCATTTTGGTAGCTGTGCCTTTGAGAAGAGTTAATTTCTGGTGTTTCAAGTTCATATTATCAGTCGTATATCTGTTTGCACTACCAATTGAGAGGACAAGAAACATTCAAGTTCTATAATATCTCACAAGATAGAAGTTACTTCATGCTAAACAACGAGTGACATTGCCTTTTGACTTACAGTACTTGAAACTATATTATTGAATCCTTATTGTTGATATGGCAATGTTCTTTAATGTGGTAATCTGATCAGGTCTTCGATTGGGTTATTGGCAGACGAAGCTAAGAAGAGAAGGTGTCCCGACAATTTTGCAAGGAGCTACAGTACCCATTCTGCTGATGGTTGTGAGTGATCCCAACGCATGCAAGTTTTCAGAGGAAAAAGAAAGTTTCTGCAGACTTGCTTCTTTTTACCGTTGTACTATTAGTAGATCCTACTCGTCATTAGCCCTGAAAACTTTTGTAGACTTGCTTCTTTCTGCTATCACTATATCCTATCGTCAATAGCCATGAAGTTTGTTGGGTCATTATGGGTCCGGTCATGATATTCGATACTCCTCCACGCTCCTCGCTTACAAGTTTACACTAGAGCATCGGTGTATATGATAGTAGAATTTGTTCATGCTCTCTTTGTAATGCTACCCTGTTGGAAGAAAATTCTTCGATGAGACATTAATCTGGTGATGAATTGGTAGGACTGCCATCGGTTTGCATTCTTATGTTGTGTGCATGGCAGTCACGTTCTGCAAGTGGTACGACCAGAGATGCATATTCGCGATCAGTGTCGGATATTTGGTAATTAAATTTGCATTGAATATCTATGTTACTAGACCATTTAAGAGGGCGCGCTAGACCGGTTTGTTCATCAACTTGCTATTCCGAATTTGACAACTGAAATGCATGGATAACCTGAAGAAGCCTTCATTTAACTTTTATTCAGTTTGGTTTTCTGTTAAGTGAAGACAGATTCTTTGCGTGAAATCTCCCAATGTAAGAAAGAATTACACTAAAAAGCAACGGTTGAAAAATAGATTAGACATTTTTATCCATTTTCTGTTTACAAGATTTGTTAACCGTGAAAAAAGATGTGTGCCCTTTTTCTTTCAATCTTACTAAATTTTCAGTCAACTGAATTTACATTTCATTAGAGCAACTCCAACGGGCCGACTCAAACGGACGGCGCTTTTGCCCGTTTGGGTCGGCCCGGCGGACACAAATGTTCAGCGCTGTGTTTGGGTCGGCGCGAGCGCCCAACGCTGGCCCGACCCATTTCATCGATGTGTCAAAAAAAGAGTATTGCGAGCAGTTTGAAAATAAATACATGCATTTAATTAAACATAAAAATCGGCCACAAAGGCCGGCGAAAGTCCACATTACATTAATTAAAACACTAAAAACTAGATGACGCGTTGCCCTAGGCGTCCTTATCGGCGGTGACGTCTGCGTCGGGACCGGTGAGGTCGATCAACGTCGGCGCAGGGCCGGCCTAGGGGAATGTCGTGTTCCAGACGGCGGTGATGTCAGGCTTTGCCGCCGCTGCTTGGGCCTGGCGCGCCTCCTCTTCGGCCTCGCGCTCGAGCATCTGTAGGCGCTCGCCCTCCTGGCGCTCCTCGGCCAGCCGAACGCGGCGCCAGTAGTCGAGGTAGGGCGCCTCTTGCTTCTCCGTCGCCCCGAGCCAGATTGGCGGAGCGCTGACCCACTCGCACACTACTCTGGTCCAGGAGTAGCGCTCGCGGTAGGCCGGCTCCTCCGGCTCGGCTTTGGGCGGGGACGACGGGGCCACCAGCGACACGACGCAGTCGCCCGCCGCGGAGAGGGCCATGGCCTCCGCCATGGCAGCCTTGAAAGCCGCCTCCCTCCATCGCTCCTCCTCCTCGCTCTCCTTGATAGCCGCCTGGTAAGCGGCCTCGGCCTCCTGGTCCTCGTCGTGGACGACGAGTGCGGGCGACGGCAGGCTGTGGTCGATGCCGCATCGCCTCGCCTTCTCGTGTTCGAAGGCGAACCATCGACCCCAGTTGGGCGAGTCGACGGCGAAGTGCGGGTCGGCGCGCTGCTCCGACATCAGCAACGCCCGCCGGCGCCGCACCTCCTCCGCATGGGCCCTCGCCGTTCGCGGCGCCGCCGGCACTGGGATCCTCTTCGGATCCAAATGCCAGTCATGCGGCAGCGTCACGTCCGGATACGGCAGAGGCACGCGGTGGTGCCAGTGCCACTCGGCCTGGTGCAACGGCACGTTGATGCGCTGCCTTTGCCGGGGAGCGCTCGCCGGCGCGGGGAGGGCGGGGAGGGAGGGGGAATGGCGGGCGGGGGCTTTGCCCTTGCGGCTGCTACCGATGGCTGAGAAGAAACCCATGCTGGCGGTGGCTAGGGTTGTCGCCGGCGTGGGGGCAGGGGTGGCCAGATGGGGACGGGGGACGAGTGGTAGTGGATGAGGACGGCCCCGCCGCACGCCCGGCTTAAAAAAGGACGACCGCTGTCGTTGACGCGTGGGTCTAAGGTGGGCGGTCGTCATAAATTATGTTGACCGTGGCGGTTGGCTGGCTGCCAGGTGGGGACGCGGCGGACGGCGAGGAGATGCGCGGCGCGTCCGCGCCGACGCATTCCAGGCGCAATTTTGGATCGGAAATGGGTCGGCGCGGACACCGGGCAGACACAATTTGAGTTTGGGTCGGCGCGTTGGGTCGCCATTTTTATTCGCATCGATCCAAACAGATGCGAACGAACGAAATGGGTCGCCCCATTGGAGTTGCTCTTATGGATCGAATTCTCGATTATTGGAGTTTGTTGTCAATTGCAATGTGCGCTGTCCGTCGTGGATGAGGTGTATGTTTTGCCTTTGTTCTGGGTCGTTGAAAACTTATTTTCTTTGCTCGTCGGTCGATGGTAACATCTGAAGGCACTTCTCAGATCTGCATGATTGATGTGGTCCATGGCATCAAATTTTTCAGTACATTGCATTGGGCTGCAACTGTATTTTTTATCTATATATTATTTGGCGTGTTATCCTAATAGGAATTGTTTTCCCTCTCAAACCGGTTATTGATCAAAATCGGTTTCTAGATGGAAGGATCTATCAGCACTTTTAGTTGCTTTTTTTTCTGAAAAAACTTACGATCTATTTATTACCAATCATGGAAATACAATGAACATCATAAATAATAATAATAAATATATCAAGATTCATAGACCACTTAGCGACAATATTGACTTTTCTTTTGAAGCAGATCTTCATGAAAATCTACCTAATTGTGCAATCACAATATTTTGACACTAGTCTTGAAATTCAAAAACCATAACTGAAACTCAACTGCTATTATCTTGTTCGAAAGAAAACTCGGTAATAAATCCATCCAAATGACACCCGTGTGGCACGAAGCAATCCAGTCCTGGCGTCTTTTAAACTAAAGTTGACACTCAAAATTGACATGTGTTTATGTCACATGTGTGTCACTTATCAGAGTCCTAAATCCAAACATTTCGCCCGGTGACTGAATAAGAAGTTTGGTATGCATGTCAAGTCGGGCACTCACCATTTCCGCGTACCCCGGTTGGAACCCGAATCCGCATCCGCTAGCAGAGCGGAAATGGGTTAGAGCTGAACCCGGAAGGGAAGCGGGACAGCTGGCCGCAAAACCCCCTCCCCTGTTCCTCGCTAATCCCCATTTCCCACAAACCCCCCGTCCCCTCGCTGCTCCAGCCCAACCACTCCGCCTCCTCCCAGGGCGAGAAGCTTCCAGGAGCAGCTAGGGTTTCCCGTACCGGTCGATGGCCGTCGCCGACGCGGTGCTGCCCTCGCCGCCGCCCCCGCCCCCGCCGGCGCGGGCCGTCGTCGTGCGCTTCGCCCTTGCCCTGATGCTGGCGCTCGGGCTCGTCCTCTGCGTCGCGGCGGGAGCCCTCGCCTGCCTGGGCTTCGCCTCTGCGTGGGTCGCCTCCGCGGCCTCGGCTGCCAAGGTCGTGGCGCGCCGCGCCTGGGGCGAGGCCTCCGCTCCTTTCCTCTTCCTCCAGGCGCTCACGTACGGGGCCCTGAAGGTCTGCGTCTACAACTTTCTTGTGTTGCTCGCGCTTACCGTCCTGCAGCAGTTCGTGGCCTACGTGATTGCAGTTGTATCTGGATCCACTTCAGGATTCAAGAAGGTATCGTGCAAATTAACTCCCTGTGACCTTTATTCCGGTCGAATTGCAGCACTACATAGGCCAGGGTTATCATTATGTTCTAATTAAGTTGCCATATATATTGTGGTCTAATTAATTTCGTAGTTCAGGCCGTCCTGATGCCGAGTAGTAGTAGTAGTAGTAGTTTTTCCATGTGTGTTCATCACTTCATTTGCATCCTACCATTTCCGAACCATTCCATATATACTAATGTTCATCCGTTTGGTTTTGTTAGAATTGCTGCCCTCCTCAGAGCGCCTTCGGAGCAATGAGGCCGGAGTCGGTTGCACGCTTCTTTAGGCTTCTGCGCCCCATTGTGCTTGGATTTGTTGCATATGTGGCCTTCATCCTGCTAGCGGTCGCTGGTTTTCTGGTAGCAATGATGTCGCCACATGTGGAGGGATCGATGTCTCAGGGAGAAATGGTTGGTTCGGTGATCATGGATGTGGGGATATTTGGTTCGCACGCGACAGCTTGCTTTGTTATGATGCCAGCTCTCGTTCTTAGTCTCTGGAGGGAGTACCAGGCAAACAGGAAAGCACCATCGCAGTTCTGTTGAGGTATATATATATATCTTTACCTCCCCCTTTGCTTTGCCCCCCTGTATCTGTGTGTCATATGATCTTTCTCCATTATAATCTGCATATTTTGTGTAGCCTCTTAATATCATGGAAACAGTCAGTGTTGTTAGTTCGCCATCATTTATCTTATCTTAGTGACTACTGGTGTTGATATTTGTTAAGATGGAGCATTGTTCTATATATAACCAATGATGATTTTGCTATTTCCCCTGGTCATTGCATATTAGCATTCATGATGAAATTGGGATTGACATCGATCTTAAATTGTGCAAGGTGCCAACTAATGCAGTTGTACATTTCTAATATATGCCTTTCTTATGAAGTGAAGATCATAAAAATGATCGATTCTGTGTATTAGAAAAAAAGGAATATTAACTGTTTACGCTCCATGGTCCCCTGCGACCGTTGTATCTTTGCAGCGAGTGAGATTGTAACATTGTTTGAGAAGTCCTGTCATTGGTAATTTCCCCCATTGAAACCAATGGGAGGACCCAACGTTTTCAAGTTTTGGCTATGGCTTACGAGTCTACTCTTCTTAGCTGCATTTGGCAATTGTGACTGCCATGTTTCGTGACTGGTAAAAAGAAGTAAACTGTTTGATCATGTAAATAAATAACATGACGGTAAAGTGGCACACCTCTAGTTCTTTTAACAATTATCAACTTTTATGTGGCGTTATGCCCAATACATTTTGGTAGTATTGCCATTGTGGCTTTGTCCACTGTTCTGTGTCACAGTTTAATGCTTTTATGCTGTAGTAAAAAAAAGTAAACTGTTTGATTATGTAAATAAATAACATGACAGTAAATGGACGCACATCTAGTAGACTAGTACTCTAAGGTGGTGCTATGGCACTACATTTTGGCAGACGTGCCTTTCAGAAAAGTTAATTTCTGGCCTTGCAAGTTCATATCATCAGTTGTGTGTTTGTTAGCACTACGAATTGAAAGGACGAGAAAGATTCAAATTCTGTAATATCTCACAAGATAGAAGTTACTTCATTGCTGGAAAATGAGTGGCATTGCCTTTAGATTTATACTACTTGAAACTATACTGTTTGATACTTGGATGATTAATTACTTAATGTTCTTATATGTGGTAATCTGATCAAGTATAGGGTTGGATTATTGGCAGACGAAGCTAAGAAGAGAAGGTGTCTGGAGAATTTTGCAAGGAGCTACAGTACCCATTCTGCTGATGGTTGTGAGTGATCCCAACAGATACAAGTTTTCAGGTGAAAAAGAGTCTTTGCAGACTTGCTTGTTTCTACTAGCATATCCTAATCGTCATTGGCCATGAAAACTTTTGTAGTCATGCTTATTTCCGCCGTTACTAGATTGTAATCGTCAATAGCCATGAGTTTGTTGGGTCATTATGGGCGTGTCGACGATATCCGAATACTCCTCCACGCACGACTCGCTTACAAGTTTGCACTAGAGCATTGGTGGATATATGATGGTGCAATTCGTTCATGATCCCATTGTAATACCCTGTTGGAAGAAAATGGTTCCATGAGATGTTAATCTGGTGATGAATTGGTATCACTGCCGTCGGTTTTGGGTTCGTATATGTTGTACTTGTATGTTTGGTAGCGTTTCGCAATTGGGTTATGTATGTTCGGATATATATCCTCGTGGTTAGTTAAGGGGTGGTTATCTATGGTACTCCTGTTTCCTGTCTACACATGCATAATTGCATATACGCATTAGCTGAGTACTTGGCGTGTATATGGATGTGGGTGGGCGGTGGCGTAACGATCACCAAAGGTTTGAGAGGACACTTCATGGAACAGCCGGAATATGTGGCTATCAAAGCAAAGCTAGATACTCCTCTCAATGCATCCAGTAGGCTGAGTACGTACAGGGCCAGTGACAGCGAACTTGTCTGTGGAAACCTTTCGTAGATGGGAGGCAAAGAAAAGGAAAATAACCCGCCAGGTGCAGTCATGCATGCGGCCGGGGAAGCGAAGCGTACTGCCATGTGCTCCGCCGTTGAGATCGGTGAAGAGTTTCGGGGTTGCGGCTCTCCAGTGCCGCGGATCACCTTCACCGCCAGGAGCTGACGGGAGGGGCTCTCTCTCGCTCGCACCGAGCGCGAGCGTCCGTCCCCTTGCCCGAAGCGACGAGTTACTGGGCCGGCATTTGTTAGTTATAGTTAGTTTGTTTTTCCTTTTATTTTTTAAATTTTAATTTATATTTATAAATATACATAATACAAACATTTGTTCACACAACTTTTATAAAATGTTGAGATCATTCAAAAACAGATTCGTAACATTTAAATATGTTGATGCATTTGTAAAATTGATCATGAAATTTCAAAAAAAAAAATCACGAGTTCCAGAAATATTTTCATCACATTTATGAAAAATTACAATGTTAAAAAAACTTCATGTAGGTTTAAAAAAATATTTCGTACCACTAACTTTTTTGTGACATATAAAAAATGTTCACGCGTTCCAAGAATATGTTCATGGCATTTACTTATTTATTTATTTTGAGGGCAATTTTTTGTTTAATTTGTAAAAAAAGTCATGTAGTTTAGAAAAAATGTTTCATAACATTCAAAAACGAATTCAGTGTGTATTTGAAAATATTTAAATTTTATTTCCTTTTGAAATAAATTTATTTCGAAATTGTTCGTCATAAATTTAAGAAATGTTCAACGTGTATCCAAAAATATTTCGCGTATGTAAGAAAAATGTACACCATCTATTTAAAAATAATAATGAAAAAACCGATAAGAAAAACACAAAAAAGATGCACTTAAGCTTCTAAAACCGGACTGAGGGGTCCATAGAAGTTTCTCAAAACAGCTCTTGTCAGCTGCAATACTGGGCCGACCAACTAATCTCACAGCAGAGGTAATTCCGAAGGATCTCTCGATACGACAAGGTATAGCCGTGGCATGAGCTGATGGTGGCGGAATGGTTTTGAACCAGCTAGCACTTGGTGTGTTCGGCTAACGAGGCCTAGGCCCATGTGTGGCACCCAGTGTACCACACAAGCAACATGCCTAGGGCTACACCAATTGCTTAATGATGTCTGATGAGTGGATGTTGTGCATACTTTTTAGACTATATTTTAGTGCCAAAACCCCATCATATCCATCTAGCACTTATTCATCTTCTCATTGCATAGTTTCCGATGTTTACTTGTTATACGAAGTTCGTTGCAAATCTTTTAGTTTTTATTTATTTTTTTAGTTTTATTTGTTATATGGTCTTTGTAGGTGTATTGGCATGTTCATGGACTTGGCACATAAAAAAACAAGTTGGAGGACAAACCAGAGAAGTTCCAGGCACAAGCTTACGCATTTCAGAAGGTAAAACATAACATTTTTCCAAAGTGCTCCAAATCTGGATATAATACCATAGGTGCATCGACATTGTTCGTACGATTCTAACGAGCTCAAGAACGTCAAATTCCGAATTTGTATGAGGAAATGGTGACCGTTTTACTGGAGGAGCCCTGCGCCTAATAAGGTACACCAAACTACCACTGGTCATGTACCAGGTCCACACAAGCACGAAAATTACCTTTCCAGACCAGATTCTTCGTGGATTTCGTCCCTGTTTGTTCCTATGACTTTCTTGGCCTTTAAGGGATGTTTTGGGAGCAGATTAGGCTCATCTAGGGCCCTTGAATTAAGGTGGAAGATATACATCAACTCACGAGACCCAACGAGGTCTCCTATATAAAGACCTCCAACCCTAGCCGTTGGGGATGATCATCCATATTCCACCACAAGCCAATGCAACCGTCGGAAGGCTCTCCCCTCTCATCTAGAGGGATGCCTCTCTCTCCGTCGCCACCACCATGAGGCCACGCAAGAGGGGAAGAAGGATGCGCCGCCACCACCACCAGGCATCGGCCATAGGCCGTGTGCGCCGATAGTCATCTCCATCTTCTTCCTCGCACTTGTAATTTGCAAGATTGAACATGTTGATGACGTCAATGAAGCATTCCTCCTTGTGTCTATACTCATCTATGTTTGAGTGATTGATTCAGTTCTAGCTTGAGGTATGATCTAGTACGCAATATTAGTCTGTGTGGCATCATCTAGTATTTACTCTCTTCGTGTTGCACATAATGCTATGTTGGGATACATCCTTTCAGGCTGGCCATAGTGGGGTAACATAACCAGTATCATGCACTTGGGACTCGTAAACATGCTTATGTGGCAGACAATTAAAGAAGAGATAGATGATTATAGTAACATAGGCGCATGGGTCCTCCAGTAAAACCTTATCGTAATAAATATTACGCTACTATGTGTCGTGCATGATAATAAATGAGACCACCTATGATACTAGTGTATGATACTACATTTTTGATGCATAGTATCATACACTAGTATCGTATGCATGATACTAGTATATGATACTCCCCACTACGACCAGCCTCATATGATCTTGTGAGGACTTGCACATACATGGAGTAGATAGATGGGTTATGTGATCCTTTGGTCCGTTGTGTATTATTGACACCTTCGTGTGATATTTGTTGTGAGGTTATGTCTAGTACACCGAAGTGTGGCAGCCCGTGGATAAAAACCATATGAGATTGTTTAATCGTGTAAGGAATATCGTTTGTAATATTTATATAGTACTCCCTCATTCCCAAAATATAAGGCGAGCTTCACTTTGCACGGTATTTGATGCATGACTTTGACAATTAATATATACCGAAACACATGAAAATTGAACATGTATCAACAGTATCATCGTATTTGTCTCGCAAAATAATTTTATTTCATATGTCTTTATAATAATTTTATAGGCATACAGTAAGTGAAAAATCACAGTCAAAGTTGTGCGATGAAAACAAAAAAAGTCAATGTGCGTCCTATATTTTGGGAAGGAGGGAGTATGTTGCTGTCACTTAGTCGCCCCTAGTACTAGTGAGGCCGAAGCATAGACACCGCCTTTCGCTCTATTCAATCATACGGTTACAAACCCATTTTTATCCAGTGTTAT